CCAAGGGTTATAGTTCATGATTGGCTACAAGGTAGAGGAAGAAACTGTTAAAATGAGTATTGAGTATATGAATATTGAGCATATGAGTACAGAAGTGGGATACATTTTTTAAGGCTTGGACCTTGCTTTGTTGCATGACAACAAAGTACCCTGGAAATCCACATTCCCTGTGGTTTTAACAAAACAAAATAATAAATAATTTTTCTATTTTTCTCTTGCCGTTCTGGAATTTAATGTCAAACACATACCTGCTGATCCACTCCTACAGCATCCAATCCATCATACATGATGTCCACCCACCCATCTTTGGAGGCCAAAACAAATAGAGACATTAAGGCCTACAAAGGTAAAAGGAAACAGAGCATTACATCCAAGAAGAAAATATCTTTTTATTTGTGCATTTCTACTATTTTCTCTTTGCTTGTGCTTGCTGTTTTAGCTTGCTGATAACAATAAGCGACTTTCAAGTTAAAAGACTCCTGCCAGCAAAAACCTGTCAGTGACAGATACTGGCCCAGCAAAGAAGGTTAAAAAAAGAAGAAAGTCCGGTCCATTTTCACCCTCCAGGCTTCTACCCGTCAATTCTAATTAGCCAAACTACATTGCTGAAATATGGATGGGTTCCAGTGGCAGTTGTAAATGAATGGAGATATTAGGATATTCAGAGTACAGCATGTCCAGCTGTACAAGGCAAGGCCTTTTCCTAGATATATGTGGTTTGCTGCGTAGCAGTAGAGCAGCTAAACAGACCAAGGAAGAATGTGTGTTTGTCTTAATTCGGAAATAAATGTATACAAACTTATGGATACCACACTGGGGACCTTTAAATGTACTCTGTACATCTAGGAAACATACTATTTGTTATGGCAGCTGGGTATCTGCAAGAATACTTTGTACATATTTTAAATCAAGGAAATAAAGGAGCAAAGAAGCAGATTACCATTCCATTAATACCTGGCCGAGATTATCAAAATTATACTTGTGCCGGACCCATTTGTAGCTGGCTTCTGCACAGTCTGATTTGTTGGTGATGTTCCTCGTATCCTCCCCTTGGCAGACAAAAAACTTCCCCTTGAATAACTGTGAAAACCAAGCATTGACAAAAGAATTGGCACAGGTCCCCTGCAGAAAACAAATGGATCCTCCAGGACCTACCATATAGTCTTCAAACATAGCATACTGGAGGCAAAAGCTTCATGAGTGTACAACATGATGCTCAGTATGTTGTCAAAGGCTTTCTGGGTTGTATGGCCGAGGTCTTGGCATTGTAGTACCTGACGTTTCACCAGCAGCTGTGACTGGCTGCATCCTCAGAGGTATAACACAGAAAGATGGAGTTCTCTCTGTATTGACACAGAGAGTACTGTATCGACACACCATCTTTCTGTAGTATACCTCTAAGGATGCCAGTCACAGCTACTGGCGAAACGTCAGGTACTACAATGCCAAGACCATGGCCATACAGCCCGGAAAATCTACAACAACTAATGATGCTCAGTGTTAAAAACTCTCATAATTTAGCATTACCTTATAAATTGGTTAAAAGATTGGGAACAAGCTACATAACTCAACTGTACTGAGTCATTGACTTCAACAGAGCTGGATGTGGTTATCAACAGTGTAGGAGGTAACAAGATTTCAGATGATTAAAACGTTGGGGTTTTTTAATGGCAAACAGGAAGTGAAAGTGTGACAACCAATACGATGCATATCAGTTTAATGGCCTGTATCAAGCCAGGCTGAGTTGTCTGCCCCCTTTTTACTGAATGACAGCAAACACTGGTATGCTTTGCTTCACAGTGTTAGAGCCCCCTTCTCATAAGGCTCTTTTTCTGAACTTGCAAAGAGATGCCAAAACTTTAGGGTTCTGTTTAAGAAAGCCAAACAACAGAGACGGATAGAAAGATCATACATGTCTTATGAAGTGTCAATATTTTTAATAAGGAGTATTATATTTGTGATTTTATTATTTATGTCTTAATTAGCCACCTTGGTGGACTAGACACTTTCTGCTGGGTTTGGATCAAGCAGTGTCCTCTGCCAACCAGCTACACCGGTTAATTATTAATCAAGGCTCTTCCCCCAGTATATGAGCCTGTGTGATACATGTAACTGGATACACACTGTTGCTGCATGGTACACACTGTCACAGCATACATAAAATATTTTGCATCTGTTAAAAATGGGAAGCAGCTCTGAGACATGCAGGTTTATTTTACTTATTCTTCCCACAGTCACCTGTGGAGTTGTGTAGCTTGACGACTCTTGGCCTTTACTTGTGGCACATATGGAAATTTGCAAATTTGTATGAGTATGCTGTTTCTAAGCAATGAATTGATTATGAGGGCCTTTCAACTTCAACAAATCCTACACAGCCTACCTGGACTCCCAAGATGCCAAAAATGATGAAGAAAGCGCAGCAAATCACAACAATGTTTCCAATAGGTTTTAGGGATGACATCAGGGTTTCCACCACTAGCTTCAGCCCTTGTGCTCGGCTAATGACCCTGAAAAGCAAAAGGCAGACCATTAATGATCTCCTAAGACTTCATGCCCAAAGGGAATAGAACATAAAGCAAGTAGCCCAAATATAAGCCCAAAAAATTAATTATCCTTTAATTGACTAAATTGCCTAAAAACTGAACATTTAAAAGGTATAATGAAGCTGAAAATGTGCAACTGGGAGAGCACTGATCCCTCTTCATTACAACAAATATGAATGAGACTTGAGTGATTGACTTACTGGGGGTGGGTGGGTTGCATTTAGACTATACAAGTGGGAACCTGCAAGCACTTGTGAGAAGCATCTCACTTCCCCCTCTCCCACTATTTTCTCTTTCCCTTTCCTGAAAGCTCCCATAGTCTCTCCCCTTTTCCTGCTGCCTTCTCTCCTTCTAGGGTTGTCCTTAGAGTGGACTTCATAGCCAAGGACATTTTTTTCAAAGTTTGGAAGATTATTCTTATTTAAATTCTCAGTCAAAATCCTTATGGAAAATAGTGTAACCTTTGGAGTTTTTTCATGTATATGGCTCTAAAGAAAATTTCAAAATTATATACAAGTAATAGCCTTCGTTATATATTTCATGGTTGTATTCTGTTTTAGCTTATCAACTCTTTCCGTGAACTCCTTTTGTTGTTAACCTTATTTTGGAGTTATGGCTTAAATAGGGAAGCTTGCATTTTCAAGTGCAGAAAAAGATGCCAATTTTGTTTACATAGAAAAGACTGGATCTTATTAACACAGAAACTGAGTACTTGGGGACAATTAACATATCCAAAAAGAAGTCAATTTGGCTTCAGCTTCATGTATGATTTCTATCAAAATACTGTAAAGAAAATATTATTACTTTAGGCGTATGTATACACACACACCCCAGCTATGTTTTGCAATGATGAAACATTCCTACTGATTGGGCAGCTATACCAAAAATAATGCTCTGAGGATTTGATGTTGCCTGTAATTAAAAAGGTTAAAGACAAAATACATACTTTACAAGAAGACATAGTCACTACAATTGAAATTTTAAAAAGTAACAACAAGGAGGAGAAATTGGAGAGATTAGTGGCAGACAAAACGGTCATGAAAGACATTGGGAAAAATAGAGTATCAACATTTTCAGCTAAAATTACATTTAAAGAATATCAAGTCCTTCAACAATTGAAGAATGATCCAAACATCAGTATTAAGGAAGCAGAGAAGGGTGGGGTTCGAGTGGTTTCAAATAACCAAAATTATATTTTAGAAGCACCTAGACAGTTTAATGATCTCACTACCTACCATACATTATCTCAGGATTTTTCCTCTCAACACTTTAATTCTTTGAGCCAACAGTATGAGGAAGAAGTTTTAAAATTTCCATAGTCTTATTTGCAGCTAAGCAAGGTATTGATGGTTTTTTAATACTGTTGCAGCTAAATAAAATATTCATTTTTAAATTTGATACACTGCCCCAAGGGACTCAAACAGTGAAATGGAATATGAATTAAGTTTTTTTTTTTTAATAAGGGGTATTCCATGACTTTATGTTACCAAGGTTGGCTGTAAATTTTGCAGAATCATGTAATTTCATCCCTCTGGCCACCTGATACTAATTAACTCTACTACAGAGTAAAAAAGTTAGCTGTTACATTTCCATTTTGGCGGCATTCCAATCCCCTGAGGAGTAAAAAATTGGAAGCCATCCCAACTCCGCAGCCGTAAACAGCCAGTTGGAGGAAACTTTGGAAACAATCCAATTTTAAATTGTAAGTAGCAGGCTATAGAGGGATGAGAAACAAGTAACCAAAAGGTTTTTAAATATGTAACTTTAAGTATGACTTTTGTAAATGTATTTAGACTTCATAAATGTCTTGTTAATGTACATTTCAGTTCATAAGGTTAGCAGGGAGAAGGGATATGCCCCCAAACGCATCCTAGCCTGGGTGATTCAACAAGCAAATCCTTAGAGTGGACTTCATAGCCAAGGACATTGTCAACTCATGTTTTTCAAAGTTTGGAAGATTATTCTTGTTTAAATTCTCAGTCAAAATCCTTTGGAGTCTTGTCATGCATATGGCTCTTAAGAAAATTTCAAAATTATAAACAAGTAATAGTGTTCTTTCACAGTTGAATTTTGTTTTAGCTTATCAACTCTTCCCGTGAACTCCTTTTGTTGTTAACATTGGGGGGGGGGGCAGCTGGAGATCTCCTGGAATCACGACAGATCTCCTAGCTACAGGAATTGATTCCCCTTAGGGTTGCCGGACTGAGGTTGGGAAACCCCTGAAGATTTTGGGGTGGAAACTTGGGAAGAAGTGGTTTGGGGAGGGACACCAACCTCAGCTGGACATAATGCCATAAAGTCCACCCTCGAAAGCTGCCATTTTCTCCAGGGAAACTGATCTATGTTATCTGGAGAGCAGCTGTAATTCCAGGTGATCTCCAGCCCCCACTTGGAGGCTGGCAACCCTAGTTGTCCCGAAGGAAATGGCTGCTTTGGAGGGTGTCACTATACCCCTTTGAAGTCCATCTGCCTCCTTAAACTCCACCTTCCTCAGGCTCCCCCTCCCCTAATTTTCAGGAATTTCCTAACCTCTTTTTTTTTTTCCCTCCTCTTGGCAATCCCAATATCCTCTCCCTACCTCACTCTCTCCTTCTCAGCCATTCACCAACCTTCCTTTTATCTGCTTCCCATCTTCAGCTATGTTTATTCTTTACTTACTTCATTTATACCCCACCTTTCTCCACAGTGGGGACCAAAGCAGCTTACACTATTCTCTCCTCCTCCTTTTTATCCACATAACAACCCTATGAGGTAGGTTAGGCTAAAAGTATATAACTGATCCAAAATCACCCAGTCAGCTTCCACAGCCAGATGGGGATTCGAACCCGGGTCTCATAGAAGACCCTGAAGCTCTAACCACTACACCACACTGGCTTTCATGGGGTGGATGCTGTTGGACAGTAGCAAGCAGCCAGGCCTAGTTCAGTCATGCAAGTCGGGTGGTATCAAGTCTCCCACCTGGAGGTTGCTTCAAGGCCTAAGGTGGGACCTGGGCATATCCCAGTACAACTGAACTCCAGATAACTGAGATCTGTACCCCTGGAGAAAATGCCTGCTTTGGAAGCTGGACTCTATGGCATTATATTCAGCTGAAGCTTCTCCCGTCCCCAAACCCTGCTCTCCTCAGACTCTACCCCAAAATCTCCAGGAATTTTCCAACTGGATCTGGCAATCCTAGTTCTCCCTCAAAGACCAAAACAGGACTGGAAAAGGCCTTGCCCCCACCACCTACCATTTAACTCACAGAAACCGAAGCTTGGAATGCTGTGGTTGCCTAGCAAAAGCCACTGAGAGAATCCATTGCTTAAAGCTACAGGTACTCCTTTTATCATTTTTTGATTTTTTAAAGCACCCTAGTCTTGTTGTTGGGGTTTTTTTTGGATTTCACCGTTTTCTGTAGACCTAGGGGCTTTTTCAGGTCTGTAGAAAGATCTGTCTTGCCCATTCACAGGTTCAGTGACTAGATTTAAAGTATCCAAAGTATCCTGACTTTGCTGTTAGAATATAAGATACCTCTCATAGTGATAACATCCACAGCAGGGTAAAATTGGTATCTGAACGGCATTACCATTTTGCAATCAACTATACATTATGGCATTCCCCCCTTAATGCTTCTATAATTTCTGCCATGTTTTATACTACGTTATTGTAACCTTCTGCTTTGTAAGGCTATAACTACAACTATAATGAATAATTTCCCAATAGACTTTAGAAGGCAACTGCAAAGATATGTATTTTATTTGGGATTATCACTGGGATCTTATGTTTAAGGGATACACCCCTCTTACTACCCTGACCTGGATAGCCCAGGCTAGCCTGATAGATCTCGGAAGCTAAGCAGGGTCGGCCTTGGCTAGTATTTGGAAGAGCAACCTCCAAGGAGCACCGGGGTCGTGACAAAGAGCCAGGCAATGGCAAATCACCTCTGAAATTTCTCTTGCTTTCAAAACAAGTCTAGGTCGCCACCTAGTGGTGCATAATGCAAAAAGAGCTAGAACTTCTGGCTGCCAGACAATCTTAGGATCTCCTGGCTATTCTACACACAATGGCATACAGCAATTAATTAATTACCCCGTCACTATGATTCATTACCATTTAACAAATGGGCTAATGCTAATTTAAGAATTTTACTATCATGAACAAAATGTATGTATTGGAATACTTTAGGATGAAAGCAGCCTTGGGAAAATGTTGAAAAGAACAGTTTTCATATAGGAAGAATCCTATTAATTTTACTTTGAAGGGCAGAAGACTGTTGTTGTTGTTCAGTCACACAGTCGAGTCCGACTCTTCGTGACCCCAAGGACCACATCATGCCAGGCCCTCCTGTCCTCCGTCATCCTCCGGAGTTTGCTCAGTTTCATGTTCGTTGCATCTATGACACTGTCTAACCATCTCATCCTTTGTCATCCCCGTCTTCTTTCACCTTCAATCTTTCCCAGCATCAGGGTCTTCTCCAGTGAGCGCTCCCTTCTCATTTGCTGGCCAAAGTATTTGAGCTTCAGCTTCAGTATCTGGCCTTCCAGGAAATAGTCAGGTTTGATTTCTTTTAGGATTGACTGATTTTATCTCCATGCAGTCCAGGGGATTCTCAAGAGTCTTCTCCAGCACCATAATGATGTCTATTATTTGTGTTTCAATGTATTTTTAATGTCAGCTGCCCTGAGCCTGCCTGGCAGGGAGGGTAGGATATAAATTGAATAAAATAAATAAATAAATAATTCAAAAGCATCTATTCTTTGGTGCTTGGTCTTCCTTATGGTCCAACTCTCGCAGCCATACATTACTACTGGGAATACCATTGCTTTGACCATACGGACTTTTGTTGGCAGGGTGATGTCTCTACTTTTTATTATGGTGTCTAGGTTTGCCATAGCTTTCTTCCCAAGGAGTAGGCATCTTTTAATTTCATGGCTGCAGTCACCATCTTCAGTGATCTTGGATCCCAGGAACGTGAAGTCTGT